GTTTTTTCCAATTTTATCTTGTTTGTCATCTAACAAATTAAAATCACCAATATTTAACATCAAATTAATCGTAATAACTAGATAATTATCACAAATTTATCGATTTTGTATTTGGCGATTACGTCTTTTTTAACTTGCAGAAATGAATTCCCGAACACCAAAAATCCTGCAACTTCTGCAAACAGATTCTCCAAATAATCGTTCCGATGGTGAAATATCGGACTGTTAATAATTAAATAATATTTAAAAAACTGCACTATCACATGATCTTCTTTTTATAGACAATCAATGGAAGTTTGTTCCCATGTCAAATAATCTGAGAAAAGAATTATTATCTTAAGCGATATTAACTTGAACTCTGAAATTCCTAATATAGAAACGCCATCAAAGTCATCTTGTGAAAATGTGGGGCTACTTAATAAAGTGATAACAATTTGAACAAGAAGATGAGATAAGTTTAAACTCGATATTATGTGATAATAACCGACACTGCAAAACCATAATAACAAATGAAGGTACAAAAATTGATTATTCTAATCCGAGTGAGTACCCAGAGAATAAAATTCAGAAAGGGATTCATAGAAAAGAAACAAGAAACCTAAAAAGAAAATCACTGAGCTTAGATAAAAGAGACCAGAGATATAACATACACCGGTTTTAAACCTGCGCAAATGTTGCCAATTTCTAAAGAAGGGTTAACGGAGTGGGGGAAATGGGCGGCGACACGCGGCGACCAGAATTCTGTGACAGGGACCGGACTTTGTTTATTAGCATCTTAATGAACTATTAGGTTTATTTAAAAGGTGTTTAATCGAATTTTGTATTATGAAATAAAATTAACGTGATTTTTTAATATCAAACAGATGCCACGACATTTTATGTAAAGAGAAGACCTTTTATAGAATATTTCGTTAGCGTTTATTTACTACGGACTTTTCTGCAAGAGATTACAGTAAAATGTTGAAATAGAATATATTGTTAATAGAGCAAAAAATGTTACTCATTGTCTACGAGTATTATAAAAATAGCATGTGCGCAGGCTAATACTGCAAATCTACCCTTATGAGTTGAACATTATATTTTTTCTACGGCTATTACATATTATTAAAAATTAGTAAAAATGAGAAAATGCTGTTTTGTATTGTAACCTCAGAAAAAAGTATATTAAGGCTTCTTTCTTTAGGAATATTAATTATTATAACGGATGAGTCACATAAAACTCTAGAAATGCATATGTCTGTACCAGATAACATTTTAAAATTTAAATCTATTAAAAGTCATTTGGTCGCTAGGGATGAGTGATTATCGAAATAAATGATCGATCATTGAAAATAATCGATTATTTTCGATCAATCGATTATTTTCAAACAATATATTTTTTGTCATTTCCTTTAAAATTGACTACTTGATTATCTTTGAAAAATCAAAAATAATCGATTAACTAAAAAGCCAATTAACCGATAAATCAGTGTTTACAAAATATAATATAAATAGAATTATCGTTTATTTTAAATAATCGATTATTTTCAAATAAACTATTTTTTTTCGTCCATGGAAACAGATTATTCGATAATCTTTGAAAAAGCGAAAATAATCGATTAATCAAAAATAATCGATTAATTAAAAAGTCGATTAACTGATCAATCTAAAAAAAAAAACAGAATGATCGATTATTTTAAATAATTGATTATTTTCGATCAATCGATTATTATCAATAATCTATTTTTATTGTATTTCCTTTAAAATCGTTAATTTGATTATCTTTGAAATACCGAAAATAATCGATAATTCCAAAATAATCGCCTAATCGAAAATAATCAATTAATTAAGAAGCCGATTCTATGATAAATCGATTATTACCAATAATCTATTTTATTGTATTTCAAAAATAATCGATTAATTAAAAAGTCGATTAACTGACAAATCGATTTTCAAAAAAAAAACAGAATGATCGATTATTTTAAATAATCGATTATTTTCGATCAATCGATTATTATCAATAATCTATTTTTATTGTATTTTCTTTAAAATCGATAATTCGATTATCTTTGAAATACCAAAAATAATCAATAATTCCAAAATAATCGCCTAATCGAAAATAACCAATTAATTAAGAAGCCGATTCTATGATAAATCGATTTTCCAAAAAATAAAACGAATTATCTATTATTTTCTAATAATCCTTTTTTCATATTTTCTTTGAAATTGATTATTCGATTATCGAAAATAATTGATTATTAAAAAGCTGATTATCCAATAAATCGATAATTTTAAAAAAATAACAAAAATATCGATTATGTAAAATAACCGATTATATTCAATCGATTATTTTCATATATCTTCGAAAAATCGAAAATAATCAAATAATTAAAAAACCGATTAAACGATAAATCGATTATTTTGAATAAATCTACTTTTTTTGTATTTCCTTTAAAATTGATTAATACATTATCTTAAAAAAAACGAAAATAATTTATTAAAAACAGCGGATAAATCGATTTTCATTAATAAATATCAGAATTATCGATAAATCGATTATTTTTGTAACCCCTATCGGTCGCTTGCTTTTATCTGAGCATTTAGCTCCAAAATTTAGAGATTCGGATTTTTTGATCCAGTTATCTTTGAAATCGCATTCGATTGTATAATAAATAAATAAATATTGCTAAATTTTTGATTTTTTTTAGTAAACGAAAATTATGTTCGAGTTGTTTAGTGGTTTGTAATGTAACATTTTATTAACGTGACTAAGGGTCGATTCCACCGTTGTGTTAAACGAAGTTTAAAATGACATTTTTACATTAACACTGTCATTTTAATCTCCGTTTAACACAACGGTGGAATCGGACCTAACTCCTGTAACTTAAGTATTTTTTTTGGGCTTATACTAGATTACTTTGTTTTAAGACTGAAAATTCAATGTCACTTTCGATTTGACCGCAAATAAGATGAACCTTGAAATTTTAAGTAGGTCATCCTGTATTTCATCTAATATTCTTATAAAAATACCTTATAAAAATACCTTATAAAAATACCTTATAAAAATAAAATTTAGCTAGCAACTATGATTCTTTACCTCTTATTTATTTACCAAAAAGAGCTAAAAACTACCTTTAGAAAACATTCTTATAAAACTACTTTTTAAATACAAAATTTCGTTACAAATAATGCCTATTTACTATTTATTTAAATTAAATGTTCAAAATTTTACCCTTTTGTAAATTTATGTAAGTAATATGAAAACTGATTTCTGATGCTTAATATTTATTGAAACCCCTTAATGCGGATCTGAAGTATTCAGCCCAGAGAATCATGGCGCTTTATGTCAAAACGTTAATAAATATTTACCGCTGAAAACGAATATATTCATAACAGTAGTACTTGTATTATAAGTACACACAATTTTTCAAGATACATCGTGACATTTTGAACTTGAAATTGAATAACTAGAACACTTTAAATTGCTAAAATACCAACAAATAAATCAAAAAACAGATGTCAATGGTGATTAAACTCAGGTGGAGGTGATCGCTGAATGGAAATCGGAGCAATTCGGGTGGCGTCGTGCAACAATGATTTTCAATTGGTGGGTTACTTTGGCTTAAAATAGACAACATGCGCAGTGTGCAATGTTACATCTTCGGTCTCTTTAATCTAAGTCACTGAGACATTCAGGTCAGGAGTATATAAACACAAAGGGACAAACAGTTAGAAACAAACTCCGTGTACTAAAAATAAAAGTAAGAATATGTGTAACGATTTTACAAAGCAAGACAGGTAGGATAGTTTTAAATATTATTGGGCTCTTGCAGATAATTTGAAGCAGAAACATTTCTAAGCGAATGTATTCAAATTGGTGGAGTAAAAAGAAAAATCTGATGTGTCCAACACATGACTTTCCTATCTAATTATTATAGGCTTTTTCCGGTTATTTTGCACAACCTATTGCAGCACCTCTATAAATGTTTAGAGGATAAACTAAATATATACATTTTCCACATACATATAACTCGAAACATTTTTCTATAGATATTCATTGAAAACGAAAATATTAAAAATTTAAATTTAGCACTTTTCCTCCAATTTTTCTATTACGGTCCATTTTAGAAAAATTATGTAAAAACCAAAAATTATAAAGATCGATATCGAAAACAACTTTTAGTTTAACAATTTTCTTAAAAATTCGAATTTTGCACATTCTGTCCAATTTCTCGAATACGGACCATTTCAGGAAAATTAGCATATAACAAAAATCATTGGGAAAATTAGATTCTGGAGAAATAATGAAGAAATACTGACTTTTTGGAAGAATGAAAAACTTTGCCTCTTATAAAATGCCTAGAAAATCGAATGATAATATCTCATCTAGGAAAAGACTTTTTAAGGACTGGAAGACAGCTGCATGCAAAGGTGACACTGTTAATTTCAATCAGTTAAGAAGCAAAAGAGATATTTGCATTTCTCCATGAAATAATTACATCAAAATTTTATCAAGACCCATAATATCAAAGTAAGTAGGTTATTCTCTGTTCTGCGCATGTCGTCCTTTCTGAGTTTTGATGCCTAAACCAGCTTCAGAGAGACCTGTCTCTGTATAAAACACGAAAATTTTAGACTGCTGTTCACAAAAATAAAACTTTTGATGTTCTTTAATTAGAGTCAACCCGATGACTTAATCAAAAGTTTGTGTTGCGAAAATAAAATGGAAGAGAGTAGTTTAGAACAATTGTAAGCAAAAAAAGTTACTTGGAACGAAATTATAAAAAGGAATCTGCTGTTTATAAAAAATGGATACTAGTTAGTGAAGAAATAATTGTTAAAGGCATTAAGACATGCAAAAAGTACATGAAGAAAGACGTTATTTGTAACAAAGAAAAAATTATGGAAGCACTTCAGCATGATCTTCCAAAGTATATGCAACACATTGCAAACATAATACATAATATCAGGTTATCGACACCTTAAAAGATTCATTAGAAAAACAAGATGTTTTCGTGCATATGGATTTTTCTGAAAACTACCAGTGCAAATACAATAGAGAGATACAAAGTGCGCATTTTGGTGGAGCTAAACCACAAATATCACTGCATACTGTAGTTTGGTATTACAAATCAGAAAATGGAGAAATAAAAAGAAACTCGTTTTGCAGTTTATCTGAGAATACCCGTCATGATCACATTGGAATTTTTGCTTATCTTCAACCTTTATTTCAACAAATTTCGGAAAAGTTGATAAACATTAATAAAGTGCATTTTCTCAGTGACGAGCCGACGACCCAATATCGGAACAAAAACATGATTTTTGTTTTTGCTTTCAAGTTCGTAGATATATTGAAACCTTCAATCATGACTTGGAACTTTTCTGAAGCAGATCATGGAAAGAGAGCTCCAGACAGTATTGGTAAAGTGATAAAACGTACTGCTGATTGATTAGTGGCTTTAGGAGAAGATATTCCTGATCTTAAATGTCTAGTTGAGCAAGTATCAAATCGTTGCTATGGAATTCAGTTACAAGTTGTCACTGAAGACTCTTTTCAAAAAATTGAGAGCGAATGCTCAGTTCCAAATGATCTCAAAGCTTTCAAAGGAAATATGTCCATTCATCAAATAACTTGGAATTCAAATAAATCTAATACCGTATTATTCAAAACACTTAGCTGCTTGTATTGTACGAGCTCAGAAATCTGTTCTCACTACCACTTAGATGAAATGGTTGTACCTATCAGATCCGAAAGAATCAGATACAGCGAAATATATAGTTCCAGCTTTGATAAAGGTTCTTCTTTCACTGATGAAAAGTACGATTTTATAAGTCCTACTGTTAGTGATGAGATTCAAGATGATAAAATAGTCTGAGAAACTCACGACTTTGTTGTCATAAAACATGGATTTTCCTTTTTTCCAGGTCATATAAGAGAAATTCGAGACTCAGGTGCAGTGGTTAGTTGTATGGAAAAATATGGACGTCTGTTCACTTCTTGGAAATGGCCTGTGCAAATTTTGAACATTTGTAAGACTGCGGCCCGTAGCCAGACTTTGAGGTACAGCCTGTAGTCCATTTTTTTAACAATTGAGACAATTTACTACTGTTTTATTTTTATAGCCACAGCGATAACAAAATATATTCCTTTTAGAAAAACATGTTGAATAATTATGTCCAACTTTACCACAGTTATAACAAGAAACATTAGATAATCTACTTTTATTTAATTGACTATTGTTATTACGGTACTGGTTAGTATTAGTTGAAAAATTATTACTACCAAAAGCAGCAGTATTATTTACATCGGTATTTGTACAATTTTGAGATAAATTTTGAGCATCTTCTAGCTTCTTACATAAAATAGACAATTCATCAATAGTCTTAGGGTCTTGCAATGCTAACTGAGAAATAAAGGTAGGTAAAAGATTTCTTTTAATAATATTTACTCTTCTACATTCATCTGGCAAGATAGGTAATCTTTGAAAAAGTTTTTTTATATAGGAAATGTATAATGTTGTGCTTTCAGAATTAAGTTGTTTTCTGTTTTGAATCTCTAATTCTAAATTATATTGATAGTCACAAGGTAAGAAATGTAATTTTAATTGTTCAACAAGGTGATCCCAGTCAGTGAATTTAGAACAATTATTCATATACCAAAATAGAACATCACCTTTTAAAAGATTACAGCTACGTTGAAACACTTGTTGTTTCGAAAGACCTCTAGACAATCTTAACATTTCAACATGTTCCAAAAAATCAAACAACGAATTATTACCATCATAGAATACACCCCATTTATGAACATCTACACTTGTATATGAAGGAAAACTAACTTGTTCTGTAGATACAGTACTAGGGTTAAAACCAGAAGAATTATTATTAACTTTTTCTGATAAATCAGCTTCTAATATGATTATTTTTGTTTTTATTGTGTTTTTAGCTGTAACTTCTTCATCCGAGTTTACTTTCAAATTAGCCACCCTATTAGACAAATGAACTAATCTAAAATTAATTCATTTAAAAGCTGGATCAAATTTATTACCAGTAAAATTTTTTATTTCTGTATTGACTTCTTTAATTGACAATTCCATTTCTGTGATATCATCTTCATGATCATAAGGATTACTTTTCTCTGAAAAACTTCTCTTGAGATAACAAACCACTCAAAACCTTTCTTTTTTGTTCTACATTAGAAGGTAAGTCTACTCCTCTGATTAAAATTTCATAGGTTAACTCATGAGACTTTAATTGTTTGGGAATCATTTTAATAAAGAGGATATCAGTCAGAAAAAATGTAAAAAGCAATATATTTAACTAAATAAAGGCACAAATTTTATCACTAATGAAAAAAAATTTTTACTCGATGGGCACAAAAATCAACTTTAGGTAAAAATCATATACTATACACTTTTCTCAGTGTAAAACGAATATGTAGATATATCATTGGGAAAATGTCTGTAAATAAACACTAAACCTAGTACAAAATGCAGATATTATATAAAACTGGACGATACGATATGCAGATTTAGAGAAGAGGTTAAAATAATAGGCAAGGAAGCATTAGTAAGAATATAAAAGACATGCATATTTTCAAATAATCTTTTTTTATGCTGTCATTATCTCCGTGGACACCAAATCATTACCATGGTCTTACAATTTTTAAATTTCTTAAAAAGTGCTTTAAAATAAGAGACGAGTTTGACCACATAGCGCACAATGTTTCGTTACATGTTTAGAGTAAAAAAATGTTAATCCAATGTAATTCTAGGATGACAAGCATTGTTGAGTCTTATTGTATTTTATTTTGTTCTTTTTTAATATATTAATTTACATAAACCCTGTATGTACCTATTAAAAAAAAAAGTAATGACATTAGTTTTGACATGTTGACTGAATATATTTTTTGAAGCTCTAGAAAAAGTCTGAGTTTTATTATTAATATTATTACGAGACGACAAAACATTGGTCCTCCGATCCGTTGAACAAGTCCCTGGAAGAATACGTCCAAGAATATCGTGCCGACAGATAAAATAGACAGTTCCTACAGCCTACCTATGACTAGGTCTAAAAGTAAGCGTTTTGGAAATGCACTATATGCTAATACAAATGAAGCCAAGTTTACAGAGCCCTCCGAACTTGAAGGGAAAAAAAATGTCAGTGTAATAATAATTTTTTTTCGGAAAGCAATTTGGGAAATAAAATGAACAGTAATCACGAAGAAGAAGTCAATTCAATTCGTACTGTTTAAAGTAAAAGTTCTTATAGCAGCATCGATGTAGAACGTGCATTGGCCATCGAAAAAGCTAGAAAGAAATAGAACTTTTAGAAAAACAAAATAAATTAAAATTGTTAGAAATAAAAATCTGATGTGTCCAACACATGACTTTCCTATCTAGTTATATAAATGTTTAGAGGATAAACTAAATAATATATACATTGTCCACATACATCTACCTCGAAACATTTTTCTATAGATATTCATGGAAAACGAAAATACTGAAAAATTTTAATTTCCTACAATTTTTTCATTACGGACCATTTCAGGAAATTTTTACATAAAACAAAAATTACAGATGATAATATTAGAAGTAACTTTTATTTGAACAATTTTCCTCTTCAAACATAAATAACAGATATATTCCATAAAATATATAAAAACGGCCTCCCATAAAGTACCCCCCCAGATGTTCCGACTTTGTCCAAAATCTAATCATTTCACGTCAGGCCGAAATAAACCTTAAGTTTATAATTTAATGTTTTTTTCTTTATCCGTTTTTGAGTTTTCTTCAAAATTCGAAATTTACACATTTTCTCAAATATCTCGAATACGGTCCATTTTAGAGAAATTATGTAAAGAATAAAAATTATAGAGAATTATATTACAAACAACTTTTATTTGAACAATTTTTATAAAAAAATATTTTTTTTACATTTTGTCAAATTTCTCGAATACGGACCATTTTAGGAAAATTTTGTATAGAACAAAAATTATAGATAATATTAGAAGTAACTTTTATTTAAAGAATTTTCTTCTCCAAACGTAAATACCAGATATATTCCATAAAATATAAAAATGACCACCCATAAAGTACCCCCCCAAATGTTCCGACTCTGCCCAAAATCTAATCAGCTCATTAGACGCTGAAACAAAGCTTAAGTTTAAAATTTGGTGTTTTTCTGTGTATCGGTTCATGAGTTATGCGTTATACAGACACACACACACACACACACAGACACACACACAGACACACACACAGACATCATCGCGAAAATAGTTAAAACGGATTCAGGGGACCTCAAAACGTAAAAATCCGTCGAAAACTCGAGGTCGAAAAAAATCATGATTCCTATACTTTCCTTATATCTGTATACAGATAGGAAAGTAAAAAATGATATTTTCGAATCTATAATATCTGACAGATCCAGTAGAATTTCTTCAATTTCCAAACAAAATTCAGTAAAATCCTTTGTCTTATGTTATGATGAAAATGCCGCTAGGACTAGCAAGTGGGTGGAAAATATTTCCGTGCCACAACCACTTACAGATTCTCCCAAAGAACGTGATTCAGAACTGAAGCTTCTTTGCCAATCCGTTAGTGAAGCCATAAAAACTGTAGCTGATCAAAGCAAGAAAAATTCGTTGCCAGACAAATTGTCGAAAAAGATTTTCCCGCATTTGATGGTAATCCAGAAGACTGGCCAGTTTTTATTTATCAATTTCGCCATATATCATCGCTCTGTCAATACTCAAATGAAGAACGAATGATAAAATTAAATAAATGTCTCAGAGAAGCAGCTAGATCCGCAGTTTCAGGAATGATGATGTCTCCAAATAATGTAGATTTGGTTTTGAAAAATTTAGAACCATGTTTTGGAAGACCAGATTTAATTATCGATAGGATGTTAGCTAAAATACCGACTATCAAAGAAAATCATATGGAATGTCTAATTCAGTTCTCAAACCATGTACGAAGTTTGATTGCTACTATTAATTCATTAAATTCCAACGTTAATATGAATGATCCTTAAATTTTAAGAGAACTCGTTCAAAAGCTACCAGACATGGTAAAGTTGCGGTTGGGAGAAAAAGTAGTAAAATATCTTGGAAACGTTAACTTAGAAGTCTTTTTAAATTGGACAGATACTTTAGCTGCTGCCGCCTGGTACGTTACAGTTCCAAAAATTACAAAACCAGATAGAAAATACAAGACAAATGTTAATAATTTTTATAAAAAATCTGAAACATCCTTATTTACCACTAAAAAAGACTCGACAAACCATAAAGTATGTTCTTATTGTGAGTTAAAAAACTGCCCAAAAATGTCAAAATATGATATAGAAACAAGATGGGAAAATGTAACAAAGAAAAAATTACGCTTCTCTTGTTTAAGGCATAACCACGAAACCATAAATGTAAGGCTAGACATCAATGTGGTGTTAATAACTGTAAAAGGTCTTATCATAAACTTCTTCATAAAGAATCAGTACCGTCTAATGCTGACAACAATGATCCAGAACCAGACCACCATTCATCTAATCAATATGTAACTTCTTTACCGGAAAATATCTTAGCTGTTGGGCATGGAAAAAATTTTTTTTTGTTGATGATGCTTAAAGTAATATTATACGGCCCTAACACTGTTATTGAGACCACGGCTCTTTGTGATGAAAGTTCATCCGTTACTTTGATCGACAACGAAATCGTAGAACAACTAGGACTACGCAGAAAACCCCATTCTTTATGGTGCAATGGACGAATAATTTATCTACTTGTCATGCAAACTCAAGCTGTTTTGACTTAAACATATCTGGAGTTGCTAAATAAAGAACGCTCATAGCATAGAGAATTTATCATTGCCATTCCAAGTAATTAAAAAAGAAGGTTGGACTAAGTATTTTCATTTGAAAGATCTTCCTTTGCCAGAGATTGATCAGAGACCCTTAATTCTGTTAGGACAAGATCAGATACGACTTACGGTAGCACGAAAGGTAATACAAGGCCTAGACAATGAACCTGTTGCGACCAATATAACGTTAGGCTGCACTATGCATGGAGTTTCTACTGAAAATAAAGAAATTAAACATAATTATTCCTTTCTTCTCTGTGACCAAAACACTTCAAATGATGCCCTCCATCAATTGGTTAAAACTTCCCTTACTATTGACGCCCTTGGAGTAACACCTATCCAATCAAAAGCT